CAAGGAGGACATATTAGCCATCGACCTAATCAGTCTCAGACAACATGAAGCCCCTTCCAGACCCCTCAGCTAAAACCTAACGCAGCCATTTTCAGACCTGTTAGAAGTCACATCCCAGATATGAATATCAGCAATAGGGGCAATCTAGTACGAAGGAAGCCACAGGAATTTGATGGAAAGGTACCGTGGGAAGCATATGGAGCACAATTTGAGCTCCTGGCCGAAATGAATGGATGGACAGAGGGACAACCACTGGAAATACTTGGACAGTTGTTAGGCACAAGTATAGAGCACTGGTAGTGGCTTTAGAACTCAGGTACGGAACCCCAAATCAGACTGAAGTCTACAGGGATAGGTTTAGGATGAGAGGTCTATCCGCTTTCTATATTCTCGACACAATGTATTGCATGTGACGTTCGATATTCTAAACACCAATGAATTAATAACAAAACTTCCCATAATGTCTACTTTTAACTCTTATTATAACAAAAACTAAACATAATAATAAAATATTCACTCACGAAAATGAATTAATCACTAATATCTAAACCAAACAGTCTTTTATATCATAACAAACTGTAAGTGTAGAACCAGTGTCAATCAACCTAATGCAGTACTACCCATTAATAAATCTGTGGTCTCGTTGATAGTTTCTTTAAATAATAAACTTCTTGTCACATCTGGTGAATATAGAGTGTTCTCAGCTTAACTTTACCCCATAATTCCAATTATTTCCTGCTTTCTGATGCCTGGTTAGCTCTTTGTGCTACTCTTGATCTGGTTGGGCACCAAAACTCGTTCTTATGATATTGTCTTCTTGGTTTACCAACAACTGTTGAATTCTCACAGTCTTGGCTTTAATGGCCATGTTTGCTACATCTATAAAAGTTCCACTTCTAGATAGTATCTTTAATTGTTAATTGGCAACTTTTATAAATTCAAGTTTTATCACCAACTGGAAAGCTTCCTTTAAAGATGTACTCCTACAATGGGTCAGCCTAATTTTGATATTCTTGTCTGTTTATGATATCTTTGAATTTGTCACATCTCAACAAATCGCATTGTTACGTCTCCGTTTGTTAATTGATTTTCAGTGACTTCGTTCCGACGAAACTTTAGCGAT